TTTGTCATCTTCACTGCCTCGCTCTCGCGCCTTGTCTTTGGTTGCTAAGCAGCCCTTCTAGTATATAAGGACCCCTTAGGCACTCCCTAGTCCCCATCTCGACCTCTTGGTCATTGGGACTAGGTGAGTGACCATAGCGTTGTATCTCCCTCCGATTGCTAATGTATAACTTGGTCATTGGGACTAGTCTGTCGCTGCCTGCGTGAAGACTAGCTTTCGTAGGTCTCGTGCCTTCGTGCCGACCTCCGCTCTGCCCTCGTCGAGTTTTCTGTCACGTTTATCCCTCTCCCTCTCTCTTTCCCCTTTCGGCTCCTTGCCGCTCGCCTACGGGGTCGTCGCCGAACGTCGACCCGAGTCTACGCGCCTAGTCGCCGCGACATGGACTGAGCTCGCTCGGCTGGCGGGCGACGCTGATATCAATAGCGAGGTCCTCGTTCAGATGGTTAAGACTATGTGGAACACCGTCGCTGTGGTACTCGAGCGCATTCTTGAGCTGAAAGATATTCTGGCCGACCTTTGCGACATGCACCGGTTCAATGGCAATAGGAGTGCCCGCCTTTGACGCTACATCCTCTCCAAAGAGGAATGGATGGTCTTGGAGCAACTCTACCGCCTGCTTGACGTACGTCCCGTTTTTTTCGCCGTGTACTGTTCTCACAGCATTGTTTTCATTTGTAGCCTTTTCTGTTCGCCACAAATGATATATCTTCAAGCACACGGGGTCTAGTACATGAAGTAATACCGTACATCGATGTCCTGACGGCCCATCTCGATGATTTCCAGGACAACCTTTCACTCACTTCCGCTATCCTTGCAGCAGCGAAGCGTGGTCGACTCATGCTCAGCAAGTACTACAGTCTCACTGATGAGACACCCATCTTCCGCATTGCAATGAGTACGTGGCCCGTTTTTTTGGTAGTTTCCAGGACTACTATTCATTGCTACCACTCATTTCCTTTCTATGCTCGCAGTCATGCACCCGGCGTACAAACTTTCGTATTTCCGGAAGGCGGACTGGCCCGAAGCCTCGATTCAAGAGGCCTGCCGACTCATCACACACGAATGGACCACGCGCTACAAGCCCGCTCCGGCTGCTAATCTCACAGGTCCCGCTGTTGGTCCGTCGACGGGAGAGGGGACAACGCGTTCCTGGTCCTGTACGGTTCAGATGTCGACGGGGGGCAAGGCGGTGTGTTTCTCTGCCCTTTTGAAGGGGCAGACCTTGTCGCGCTTTCGAGCTCACCCACTTCATGTTCAATTCCCAGCCTCGGGCAACCCACGAGCTCTTTGCCTCCATCAGTACGCGGTCCGTGCTGGCGGACCGTGATGCTTTGGAGGCCTATCTCGAGGCCCCACCGCTAGCCACTGTAAAGGATCCATTGGCGTACCAGAACACTGCCATTAAGAGCGGCTCGGAGGACCCTGCGCTTGCACACATGGCCCTCAACTTCCTGTCGATTCCTGGTGAGTTTAACCCAGCTGAATAGAATCCATACCTAGGGTTTGACATCTGGACTACTAGCCACGTCTGTTGACGCCGAGCGAGCCTTCTCTCGTGGCAGACTTATGGTGAACCGCCTCCGGACGTCTCTCAGTGACAAGTCTGTTCGTGCGGGGACGGTCTTGGCGTCCTGGGCTCGGGTGGATGGGCTTGTCAACAAGAGCAAAGCTGTCGCCTTCCTGGGTGACAAGAGAGGGGCTTGAGCGCGTGCGCGTGCTCATGCTAAGGAAGGGGAAACCACTGGGACTGATCTAGAGGGGGGAGAAGTATCTGAAATTGAGGAGGAATTTGACCATGACCAGGAGGCGACGTCAGCTGCCGACGAGCCTATCTCTAGTGACGATGACATGTATGCTTAGGAGTTGCCTTTCGAACTGTGTAGTCTGTTGGTTATGTGTTCAGTATGAGTCTGTGTTCTGCAAATTTGTCCGAGGGTGATGTTGAACTTGGACTTATCCGGTCCGGACTACACGAGGCTATGCGTCTCCTAGCGCTTAGCTGTAGTCGCTTATGTAGTATGTTACCATATTTGGGACTCTCTGCTCGTGTACTATAGCTATGCTTCCGGACTCTTCTGGTACTGTCTAGGACAATCTGTACTACTCCAGAACGGTCTAGACAAGTCTTTCCTTACTGACTGAAGAATCTTGCTTCGACTCTAGTCGGATCTAATCTTTGTCTTCACAGCCCCGAGTTTATCAGGTTATGAGCCCTGCGCTCTGACCGAAGTTTTGTGTTGACGTTTATCACTGCGCGCACCCATCATCCATCTCTGTCGACACTCGGTTCTGCCGTGCATCCCCTCCACTTTCCTAAACTCTTGACTGTGCCTGCCGACACTGCTGCCACGGTGACTTTGCACAGTTGTGCCCGTGAGCGCTTTTAGTCTAGTATCT